ACTTTACATCTACAAGCATTCTGACAACGTTTGAAATCTTCCAGACATAAGCTTACCTCAGAACTCTAAATTTTATCAAGTTGATTAGTTTAGAAATACTTATGCTAATAATTTGTTGAGTCATTTGAATTTTATCATTCATATGTTTGCCATGACTTTGAATACATTTTTATATATTTATTATTTATTCCAAGATTATCTTTTGAAATTTAATTTCTTTTGTTCGAAATTCTATTTATTTTTTCACATAAACATCTTATGGATTAACATAATCTTAAAACAAACAAAATATTTCTGGTTATCACTTTATGTTAATACTTTTAAGTGCATGGAATCTAAAGTAAGTCTTATCGACATTTGCAATCACTGTTGAAAAGCAAACAAGTTATTTCCATCATAGAGTCATTTGGAAGCGGAATAAGAGGAAATTTGTTCTCAATTGGCATATTATGATTATAGCCCTTTTCCGTGCAGCAGCACAAAAATACTTCAAATCTACAAATTCTGACTCTACATCGTATAAGTACCGTGACATTTCGGTCCAAACACCAACTGGAGCAATTACCACGTTCTCATAGTAGAAATAAGGAGGCCCAATAGCATCTTCTGGAAGTGTTCTTTGAGTCATCTGATCTAGTTCGGTAAAAACCCAAAAACCAATCATTCGATTTGGAAAATGAACTGCATGATCGTCTTTGTTAAGAAGCTTCTTTTCAAGCTTCCTCTACTTCTTCCTTTTACAAAAATCATAGCCCGAGTTTCATCTTTTCTTGTAATTGGGGTCATTGCATAATGGCTTCCTATCTTATACCGGAAGAAGTGCATCAGCAGCCTTATCCATTTGAGCAACACATATAAAATCTGTCAACTCTGCAATTGATGAATACAGATCACATCTCTTTATGGCTATTGAAGCCTCAATTCTGAGTACCCCATTTTCGTCAAGTATAACAATTTATTCTCCTCATCAGAATCAGAATTCAGGATTTCCTCGGTATCAGAAAAAATATCAATATCTATGAAATCATCCTGAAAGATCGCTTCATAATCAGATGAGTAGTTATCAGAATCAACATGTTACATGAGTGCAGACTTTTCGAAAGCCTATATCATTGAGTTTTGTTCTCAAGTGCTTTAATTCAGGCATATCTACATCTACACTCTACAAAGATGATAAATTCTCTTTTCAAAGAAGAAAAATTTGTTGGATTTCTACACAATTGAAGAAAGATCGAGTTCACCACTTTGAAATCAAATAAAGATGAAATTAACATTCATGCATCATATTTAGACATTTGCAAAATAGGGGCATTTTCATTATTTTTATCCATGTTAAATATTTGACAGGAATTTCAAAGATTTTTGGAAAGATTTGAATCCATTACTCAATGCATCAACTTTTCCAGAAGAAGGAAGAATTCATAATGAGAAGAACTCATCTGAAGAAGGAAGAAGAAATTCATAATGAGAAGAATTTGTTCAACCTTTTTCTCGAATTCATCACTCGATGGATCAACTTTTCCAGAAGAAGTTTATAATAAGAAGAACTCATCTGAAGAAGGAAAAAAGAAATTCATAATGAGAAGAATTTGTTCAACCTTTTGCTCGAATTCATCACTCGATGGATCAACTTTTCCAGAAGAAGTTTATAATGAGAATAACTCATCTGAAGAAGGAAGAAGAAATTCATAATAAGAAGAATTCGTTCAACCCTTTTCTCGAATTCATCACTCGATGGATCAACTTTTCCAGAAGAAGTTCATAATGAGAAGAACTCATCTAAAGAATGAGAAGAAATCCATAATGAGAAGAACTTGTTCAATCTTAACTTAACTTCTCACATATTGAAATTAAATCAACAATACCTCTTTTGAAGATCAGCATTTCCATAAGGAGTTCATAATGAGAAGAACTCATCAGAAAAAGAAGAATAAGTTCATAATGAGAAGAATTTGTTCAATTTTTTGCTAGATTACATCACAGAATGAGATAAATTGTCATCCCCAGTGGAAAAGTTCATAATGAGAAGAACTAAATCCCAAAGAAGAAGAATTAGTTCAACATTGACATCATAATCAAGTGAAGTCAAATGGATAAAAAAATTTATCTTTTCATCTTTGCCCTATTCTTGTTAACACAAGAATGAGCAAAGAGGGGCAGCTGAAGATACTAATTTTTATCCATTTGTTTTTTATTTTTAATTTTAATATTATTTTATTTATATTTATATTATTATTAATAATAAAAAAATTATATTACAGGCCCACATTACAAACCAAACAGACTGGCCCAAACCTAATAGAAATCCTAAAACCCATTTAGGGTTTGATCTCAGCTCCAGCCGCCGCTCCTCTTCTCAGCCGTTGGATCTGGCTTGATCCAATGGTCCCAGATGGTTCCAGACCAAACCCTAGGGTATGATACCCTAGGGCAACCACGCGGCGCCGCCTCTACCAAATGTCTCGTCCAACTGCTGCCGACGTTCCACCGTTGCCACGACTCCTCGATGATGCCTCCAGAAGGTCTACACCGGCCATCCATGACAACTGCTATATGGTGAGTCACCACATGGTTTGGTGACTCACCGATATATCACCCTATTACCCGGTCCGAGGCTAGTATCGGGATGGCTACAAAGCCTCATCACACCTGTAAATAGAAAGGGGACGGAGAGCAACAAAAAAAAGAAAAAAGAAGAGGGGAACAACCAGAAAACAGAGAGCAAGCCAGAGAGAACCAACATCCACAAAATACCACCAAATACTGAGATAAAAAAAACGAAACGAAAGACATTACCGAGGAAGCTGCAACGCCACCGGAGTCCGCACATGCCTCCACGCTCCACCAAAATCCTTCGAAAACCGAAGGTATACTTGTATATTTGCTTCGATTGTGAGCTTTTTAAAGAAAACAAAGGCCATGTTCGGCCTTAGGACGATGAGATCTGAATTTTGGGGGCATTTGGTAATTTCCAACCACCGGCAGCGGTAGCCGACGGCGGTGACTAGTGACTGTCGGATTTCCTCCGGCGAGGGAATATAGAAAGAAGCGAGAGAGTTTAAAACTCTCTCAGTTAGAGAGAGAGAGAGAACTAGAAGAAAATAAAGAAAAATGGCCTTAAGGCCATTCGGTTAAGGGTTTATATACCCCTCCCCTAACGACGTCATTTTGGGGAGAGACCTGTTTGTAATTAGATAAGGGTAAAACCCCATCCACAATCCATCAGTTTTATAAATTTATATTTTAGTCACTGAATCAAAATTTAGATTCTTTTAATTCGGTGTTCGAATTTTACATATATTTATTTTAGTCCTTTACATAAAATAATATATATTTTAGGTAAATAATATATTTAGTCCTCTAAGTTTAAAAATTAATATTTTAACCCCTAATCGCATGTTTTAATTTGTTTTAATTTGATGTACTAATTTAATATAATTTTATTTTAGTCACTAAATTATAATAAGGAAAATAGCATGTTTAATTACTGTAATTCTAAATAATTAATTATGATTTAGGATATTTAATTTTAATATATTCTAATTTAGTCATTAATTTTAAATTACAAGCTTTATTGCTTTATAGTTTAAAATATATAGTTTTTATTTATTTTGGTCATTATTTAGTTGTATTTCTAATTTATATGTTTATTTTTAACACATTTATTAATATTATCATTATTATTATTATAAATATATATATAATAAATAATATTTATTTATTTATTTATTTTTTATCCTATTTATAAATTTAAGTTTATAAATTACTTTTAAAGAAAAATAATTATATTTAAATATATATTTATTTTTTAATATTAAGAAAGGACAGTCTTAAAGCAATTGGATGTCCATTTTCTGATATTTTTAAATAAATAAATATCTTACTTTTATTAATTATATATATTTTTATTATTCTAGATAAATATTTTATTAATATTTATTTGTTTCTTAATATTAAGAAAAGAGATGTCTTAAAGCACCTAGAAGCCCTTTTCTGATATTCCTAAATAAATAAATATCTTATTTATAAAAATTAAAAAATATATATATTAATATATTTTCTTAAAATTATATTAATAAATTAGAAATAACAGGATTATGAATTAAATATATATTTTTGAATTTTTAGAATTTCCAATAATAGAGACAACTTATAATTAATGAGTACTAATTTTGGGCGTTGTGGGGTGCTAATCCTTCCCCAGACGTAATCGACCACGAATCCTTTTTTGTTATTTAAAAGAATAATTTTTTTATTAAAACGTAGACCAGTTTATCTTTTAATTGATGTTTTCTTAAAAACTCTTTTAAAAGATAAGTTTTTAGGTATTTGACCTACCTGACCCAAAAAATCAATGGCGACTCCCAAAACATTTTAAAACCATTTATTCATCACTTTTCCCGCCAAGTAAAATTTTTTTTTCCGTGCCCGGGCGAAAACCGGTTACGACAGACATGTTGGCTTTCTCAGGTTGTACACATGGCTGCACTGTGGAAGAAGCTGAGGAGCTAAAACGATTGAGGTTTGTTATGTCTGGAGCTGATAGATTCCTTTAAAACACTCAAACTATTTTAGCAAGGATTGATGTTCCCACTGTTTAGGAGACATGCACTACTTGCCCCCACATGCCACATGTAAACAAGATAGCAAGGCCATGTGCTGCTACTTAACTATGAGCAGTGTAATGTCAAATAGGGAAGGACGATAATGCTATAAGATGCTTCCAACTATTTGTAGTTATCAATAACCAATTTTGGTTTTTGAGAAATATGATCATAGTGTATGACAAAACAATAACAAGATAGCAAAGCCTTGGTTTGATTTACATCAAATATTAGAATTAGTGATGACAATAAGTAAATCTAAACTTTGATCTATTAATTATCTCATCATCTCAACATTAACAATATCAAGTATCTTAGTATGACAACAAAATGTAATTAGATAGCTACCCCGTCCTTTCAGGTATGCATGCCCTTGGTGGAGAGAGAAAGAGAGAAGGGAGGAGACAACAATGGCTGTGCCCTCTGACACCAGAGGAAGCAACATTAATTTTGCAAGCATTGGGTTTTAGTAAGGAGGCTCAGATTTATATTGCTTCTGGTGAGATTTATGGCTGTGAACGGAGACTGGCACCACTAAAAGCTGCATTTCCACAGATTGTAAGTTTATGACCTTCAAATATGTAGCTTTTGGTATTAATATGTTTTCTTGAATGCTAGTTAAAGCACTGGATTCTATATTTAGCAATGTTTTTTGGGTGCATATTGAAACTCTTAAAGCTTTTGTCAGCATTTTGCAAAGAATTTCTCGTGGGAATCTAATTCAAACTGTCATTGAAGTCTTTTCTTATTCCAATGGTGATGAGGCATTCACCTGTATCAAGGAGTTTTTTATCATTTTATGTCATTTTCTCTGTGCTTAACTGATCCTCAGAATCTTGAAGCCTTGATTGGCAGGGATGTTTTTACAAATTAAGTACTGGGGTTAGCTCAACTTTTGGCTTTTAAGTCGGGCATCCTTTGTAGTGTAGTTGTTTTTGTGTTGCATATGATTCTTGCAAATCACAAGAAATTGTTGCAATTTCAGGTTAAGAAAGAAACACTGTTAGATCCAGCGGAGCTGCAGCGATTTCAGAACCATACATCTCAGATGGCGGCTTTGGACTTTACGGTATCAGTTGCCAGCGATACCTTCATTCCAACATACGATGGGAACATGGCAAAAGTTGCAGAAGGTCATCGCTGGTATGTATATTTCCGAATTATGTAACAAGGAAGAGGGGGATTATATTCAGTCTTGACAAGCTTTTCTTCAGGTATCTTGGGTTCAAAAAAAGTATCCTGCCAGATCGAAAGAAACTCATTGAATTGCTGGATTTGCATCAGAATGGGACACTTCCATGGGATGACTTTGCACTGGCTGTAAGCCAAACCCATGAAAAACGGATGGGACAGCCTTTCCGACGTTGAGTTATTCCAGACAAACCAAAGGAGGAAGATTATTTCTATACAAATCCCCAAGAGTGCCTTTCTGAAGACTTACTAGCTCCTGGAACAAATTGTGAAGACTTACTGGCCCCTGGTAAATCAAGTAAAGCTACAGTATCTTTGAGTGAGCAGCAATGAAACTCGGCTCGGAATGGTTTCCACACAACTGTTTCTAAACTGTGGACGATAATCCGTCAGGTCCGGGACAAATGCTCTAAACGACCATGTATAAATGTACTTAAAAGAGTTGTCTGGGCACAAAAGGAAAAAGGAAACATAATTTTTTTTCACTTTTGCTTATAAATTTATTTGTTTAACCCTCTTACCGCTGATCTGTATTCAGTACTATCACAAAATTCCAATGTTGAATAAACCAATATTTGTACAGTTCCTTCTCTCTATTTCCTCAAATGCCTTGACCTGAAGAGTTGATTTCACAGGAATGCATAACCAGGAAATCATTAACGATTATAAACCGACTGGTTCAGCAGACATTGTCAATGCAATTCGATATGAAATTGTTCGGTCCTATGTGCTGAACTATGGACATTTCATGATGCACTCTACTATACTAAAAAATTGGGTTTCGAAAAAGTTGAGATAGAAATGGATAATATTGAAGCAACTCGAATAATACGAGCTACTTCAACCTCTATGCAGGATCATGCCCTTGTGGACTCGATTCACCTTTTATTCTAAAGAGAATAGGAGATCAAACTTCATCATATCTCTCGTGAGCAAAATCGGACTGCGAACGCATTGGCTTAACTAAATAAGGGACAACTGGTGGGAGAAAAATTATTTTCCGACCCCTTGCTGCGGTGAATTTTATCGTCGCTCGTGAAGCTCTTGTTACTTCATCCTAATTCGGACCGACCCGCATCGTAGACCTGATTTTGATGGGTGAGTCTTCCAATAGGGATTTTCTGTATACACAATGACTCCAACTCGAAACCTCACTTAAACGATATCATACTACTTAAGCTAATAAATCTTAAGGTAATATTTTTCCTCAAACATGAAAAATGTTATTTTGAAATACAAAATTATAACTACTAATTTTAGTTTTTATGAACTAACTTCTCCCTTAGTTAAATTTTAATTATTTTTTTACAACTAACAACATTAATCTATTGATTAATTACTTTGGATTCAAATAATATAATGATTCATTATAAATACAAATTTTAATTTTAATTTGATTTTTTTATAACGTGACAATTCTATTCTTTAACCTTGTTTAAAAGATCACATACTTTATCTTTCTAAATCAACCAATTATTGATATATTTTAAAATTTAAAGTAAAATAAAAATACCTTTAAAATAGATTTAAAAACCCTTAAAAATGAGATAAAAATGTACTCGTTGACAAAAGAAAGAAAAACTGAAAACTATTACTTTTACATTTTAGAGATAAACATCATCGAAAAGATTCAAAATATGTACAAACCAAACGAATTTAATCGTAAAGGAATTATTATTGTTTCTTAAGGTCTTGGATTTAAGCACAATGAATGTTAGGAATTTGAACGTTTAATGTCAAATGATTAAGAGTTATTTTTGAACAAATATTTAATCTTAATCATCTACTTTCATTCATCCAACGATCTTAAATTTATGTAAAACAAAAAAGTTTTATATTGTGTAACTGAACTTTTATATATATATATATAGCATTACTTATTATTTTAAATAATATCAAAATTAACCCCTAACATTTACTTAAACAATTATTTTAGTCTTTATTATTTTTTAGAGCATTTTGACCCCAACATTTCATTTTGCGACAAAAAATTCTCCATGATGAAACTGTTAGTTAACAAACGGTTATTACTCCAAAATAGAGCATTTTAACCCTAAAATAAAACGTTAAAAGCTAAAATATTTTTTTTAAAAGAGCTAAATTAACTATTCAATTAAATATTAGAGGATTTTGGCCCTAAAATCAAACATAGAGGTCAAAATACTCCAAAAAAGGATCAAAAGAACTATTTTAATAAACGTTAGAGATTAATCTTAACATTATGCATTTTTTTTATTACCCTCGTCTATTTAATAATAAATTAGTGAAAATGATGTATTTTTCTTAATACATCAAATATTTCATGAACTAAGTGATCTTAATAATTAAAGAAATAATTGTTATCTTTAAAGGTCTCATGTTCGAGCACGATGTCTACATAAATATTTAAACATTTAATATAAAATAATTAAAAGTCTTTCTAAAAATTACTACCTTATAATTAAAACATTCTAATAAAAAAATACACCAATTCCGCTGACTAATTCAGGACCATTCTATTTTTTATTAGGGTTTAAATTTGCTTGAACTCTTATTGTCCATCAAACAATATCTAAATCAATTTTTAAGCATTTTCATATTTAATTCAGTATTTTTATAATCATAAGTTCAATATGAGACTTTTTCTTTCCTTAAAAAATGAGACTTTTTCTTATACATATACGAGACTAGTTCTTTCAAGTATACCGTACATACGGCTCTCATTTTTCTTTCACACAACAATGACATACGGACTATTATATTAAGAGTTTGAATTTTAAATATTAATAAAAAATTTAAGAGCAAAATATATTAGAAGTTATTGAATTGTATTTAGATAACTATTCTGATTATTAAATTTTAAAAATTATAAATTAATCATTAATTTTATTGAATTATTAGAAAATAATCAATGTGATATTATAAACTTATAAAAATTATAAAAATAATAAATTTAATGATTTTATAATACTTTGATAAAAAATTAATGATTTTTTTATAATACTTTGATAAAAATTTAATGATAATTTTATAGTAGTTTGATAAATTTAATTATTATTTTATAATAATTTAATGAGTTTAATAATAACTTATAATTTTTAAAAAATTGAATGATTTAAATAATCATTTAAAAATAATTTAATAACTTTGGATGTATTTTACCTAAAATTTAATTAAAGACAACTTAGATATTTCCTATTTATTCCGTTTAACTGGAATTTAGCTTTCGAACCTTTTTTTTATTATACACGTAGTTTATATAATTTTTATATTATATTTTTTTTATAAATTTAGAGTAATTACAAGTTAGTATTTATTAGAAAAATTCTTAATAATGAACGCTTAAATACCCTTGTAAATGTCGTGCTCAAACCCAAGACATCTAGGAATAACAATCATCTCTTTAGTCACTGAGATCACTTGGTTTCAGTAACTTTTATATTATAGTTGTATTTAAATTAATTATATTTATAATTTAATAAAAAATATATAAATTTTAATACAATGGTTTATTAATAATTTTCCTACTATACTCTAATTATTTTTTCATGCATATGCTAAAAAAAGGGGTAAAATACAACTTTAGTACCCTAACTATCTCTTTTATTCCATTTGGGTGACCTGACTATTTTTTGTTTCATAATCATAATAACATTTAGTTTCAGTTTCATCTTGGTCACCTGTCGTTAAAAAATTAACTGTGATATTTACATGTTATCATAAGATAATGTCACATCATCATTGAAAAAAATTAAAAACAATGACACGGAAGCAGTTTTGTTAATTTTTTAACGATAGATGACCAAAATGAAACTAAAACTAAATATTAGGTTTGATTCTAAAACAATAAATAGTTGGGTAACCAAAACAGAATAAAAGTGATTGTTAAGGTACTAAAAGTGTAGTTTACCCAAAAATTATTAGCGTAAAAACCTTGAAGTAGTCTCTAATCACAGCTCCAAAGGTGCAAATTTGTCGGCGGGCAGGAGCAGTTCAAAGATCCAACTAAAATTTTATATGGTTACCAAACACAAGTAGTGATATTAAAATCAAGCAACGTGGGAGATGACTGCTTATAATTTCTACTTCATCTTTGGCTTCTACTATTTGTATTCATCTCTATTGTTTTGACCAAGTATCGCAAATTTTAAGATATATATTATGATTTATATTTATTATTATTATTGATCTAGTAAGCTGGGGTAGTATTTGTTCTAAAACTCTTAATCATTTGACAATGAGTTTTGGTGTTCGAAACTTAGACCTCTAGTAATAATAATTATTCTTTTAATCGTTGAGATAACATGGTTCATATTATGATTTATATATAAGTGATGCTGAAGGGGCACACCATTCAATGGCGGGGCAGCCAAGCCCATGCAACTTGGTGGTCAATAGCATGGCTTACCTCACAAAGACCAACAAAGGGCATTTGCTCGAATTTCTTGGGTGTTTCCGACCCTCAACTCAACAGCTACTATATATATATTTCATCTAACCAAGCCTCCCCCATCAAGTTGCTCTTTTGCTTCTTTCCTCAACTCGTTTCAGCGGTTCCGTCTCTTTTCTTGTGTGGAAACTGTGTTGTGTTAGATTAGTTACACTATTTCAGCATCGCTCCATCTGAAGATGAAGTTCGGGAAGGAGTTTGCTTCTCAGATGGTGCCGGAATGGCAAGATGCATACATGGATTACGATTACTTGAAGACGCTTTTGAAAGAACTGCAACGTTTCAAGCATAGGACCAAGCCACCGGCTGCTCCTGGGTTAAAACGAAAGCTAACACTGTATAGAGCTTTCAGTGGCTTAACACAAAGGCACCACCACCACCACCATAACCCAACGAGTCCATCCTCGTTTGATGATATTGAGAGCCAACCCATTTTGGTGAATCCCGTGGATCGAAATGGGTCACAAAGTTACGAGACTACGTTCCTCATGTCGTCGGAGGAAGGGGGAGAATACGAGCTGGTCTACTTTAGAAGGCTTGATGATGAGTTCAATAAAGTGGACAAGTTTTACAAGGCTACAATGCAAGAGGTGATGAAAGAAGCCGATGTTTTGAACAAACAAATGGATGCTTTGATTGCTTTTAGGATCAAAGTTGAGAACCCTCCGGGGATTCATTTCGACAGGTCGGTGGAGATGAGTCGTCTTGCTTCGGATATTGCAGCTTCTGCTGCTGCACTCTCGGCTTCTACTCCATCAGGGGCTAAATCAGCAAGTATTAAGTTTCTCTTCTATCAAAAGCTTTTTGTGGTTTATCAGTCCCTTGTTTACCTTCATGTTTGAACTTTGAACCTTGATATGTAGAAAGACTGCTCACCTAGAAGCCATTGAAGAAAGCACCCATGGTCAACCAAATGATGAGGCTGAAGAAGCCAAACCAGTAAAACCCAAAGTCAAGGTCATCAGACCAGCTCCACTTGAAATACTTGACAAGGTGAAAATGAATAACACCCTTGAGACGCCTCGTTCCACCATTAAAGGTGTCCTCAAAGTAGAAAAACATGCCGAGCTGAGTTTCAGTAGGGGAAATCTAAGAAAAGTTGAAGAACAACTTAAGCGGGCTTTTGTTGAATTTTACCAGAAGCTACGCCTGCTTAAAAGTTACA